CTCGCTCGTAAAGCATTTCCACTCAGCCATCACTGCACACTGTCAAGCCTTTTCCCCCCCCCTGTTCATTTTTTTAAATCTTTCAGACTGAAAATATTAATTTGACCCTTGTGACGGCGCAGTTATTTCCAGACATGCTCGGGTCGGCTCTCGTCGGACAAGGTCATTTTCTGTCTGACTGTCCAAGGAATTCCAGCAAAGAATAATACCATGTTTTACGGCTCGTTCAAGCCGCACAGGTTTTCCTAGGAAAAGTTCAGTCATGAGTAGATTTGTCCTTCTAAATCAGTGAGCTGTCCTGCTGTAGGCAGCAGAGAGATGTTGTTTATTAAATTTAGCATTCCCTCAGTCTGGAGGGAAAAATATTGGTTTTTCCTGGGCCGGTGCTGTAGAAATCCTTCCGGGGTGAGCGGCCTGTGGATTCCTCAGACACGGTGTCATGGAAGTAATGGGTCTCGTATGTATATACCCCTGACACAGACCGGTGTCCCCACGTGCTTCCAGCATCAGACCAGACAGGATCATGGTGTGAATGCAGGAAAGATCAGAGGCTCGGAGAAGGCTGATGTGGGGCAGGACTGCCGGGGATCCTGAAGGCAGCAGCGAGTCAGTGCCTTCCTGAGGAGAGAGCCTCAGACTGAAGCGAGGGCTGTAGGGCACCTTGGGATCCATAGGGTAGCGTTTGGTACTGAAAGATGCCTTTTTTTTCTGTAGCAACAGATGGGCTACATGGGTCCTATCCGCTCTGGCTGCGCCGCTTTTCCTCGTGTGGTGTTCCGGACATAAATAGCACCCCGGCCATTTTTGGGAAATAATCCGGTTAGAGCCCTGTGTATCGTCCAGCCCTTGGCAGAACTGAAGGAAATAAAACAGGCCCAAATACCTGGAGCATATCTGCAGCCCTGCATCAAGCAGCCGGGACACCAACGTGGGCATTTCTGCATGGAAACGCAAGCCCAGCAATCACAGATTGGCAGCCCTGGTGACCATGAACTCGGCATATATGGTCAAAGTGAAGATTGAGTGAATTGGGCCATCGGTAATGTGCGGTCAGGGGTGACCCCAAGTAAGGGCACACTGAACGATGATGTGTAGATCCAGCTGATGGCGTGAGGTGCGAGGCATGGCAGGGCACCCATCCACAGGGGAGCCTCCAGTGACATGGGGACATGCCTCGGATTCACGTCCGCTGCATGTGAGACAGGTCACATGACCCAGCCTGACAAAGCATTTCTACAAGGCCTTGATTGTGAGTTGGGGGGTGATGAAGGATTAAAGGAGGGCAGGAATGGGGGGTAGTATTTAGTATTTATTAATGAACAGCCCATGGTAAGACTGCAGGGAACCGCTCAAACCTGAAGCTCACGACCAACCCCAGCTTCTCAGCACGGCCCCCCAGGTCCTAAGCCCCCCACCCGCCGGATGTCGGCAGGGGCTTCTACTGCCCAAAGCACATGTCCTCCAAATCTATGCAAAGCCCCCCCCCCCTCCCCACAGGGACAGGAAGTCCTGGCATGTGGAACGAATTTCCCCCCCAAGCGGTTTGTATTATTATTATTATTCTTGTTGCCTTTTACTCTCTCTGCGCTCAGCTGAAAAACACGAAAGCAGATTATAACAGCAACAGAAGTCAACATGTAACCAAGACAAATAAATCCAGTAGGAAACAACTTCAAACAGCCATGGGGCGTCGGGGAGTGCTCTGGCTGGGGACCGGGCGCCTGCCCGGTGGGTCCCGCCCAGGTGGGCCGCGCTCCGTGTGACTGACGGCAGCGAGCGGCACTCACTGCCCACGGCATTCCAGCGGATGGAGAGAATCCACGTCCTGAGGAGGTCGAGAGAGAATCTTAGTTTTCGTTGTATTTCACAGGCCTGACGCCAGCTGCCCCACGGATGTGAGGAGATACTGTGACAGACCCCCACCCCCCCCCAGGACAAAGAGGCTGCCTCCAGAGGTAAACCAATATAGCAGAAAGCGCCGAGTGATGGATTTAATATGTTAACCTCCTTATAAATCTGCGTAAGCTCTCAAGCTGCCCTCTGCTCAGCAGCCTCCCAGGGGACCGTAAACTGAGCCCCCGGGAGGTGGGGGGGGGGTCCGACGATGCGAGGAACCCCAGACCTCAAGTTTTGAACCCCCTCTGCTGAGCAGGACTCCTGATTTGCTAGCAGGAAGTGACAGTTTGTTTGTCCTGGTAATTAACACCCTGCCCCCCCTTGAAACACAGGCTGGGTGAAACCCGGGAGGGGTGGGTCAGGGGGCGGGTCAAGGCGCACCAGGGGGCGTGGCCAGAGGATGGCAGGACCTCCAGGGGCAGAGCAATACACTATTGGTATCTCTGCCTTCTAGCCATCTAAGTCACCATAAACAATGGAAAGAAAATACAAAAAAAAGGAAAATAAGAACCCCCCCCCCCCCCCCCCAGGGTGTGATAAATGTGTGTTTTACGGTCCTCTGCCTGGGGGGTCCCTGTCACCGGGGGAAATACTGTCAGGAGCATCCATGCTGGAAAGGCTCCCAAGTGTGTTTGTGTGTGTGAGGGGGGGGGGAGTAATGCACCAATGCAGCACCTTATTGGAGAGGCTATGCAAATGAGGGCGTGAAACTGGCCTCTGTGGCGAGAATGAAAGTCATCTGATGTCTGTTTATGGTTCCCACCAGAACCTGGAGGCATTTAGAGGGTAGTTATATTTCAGCCACTCTTTTGATGTGGTTTGAGTCTGAGGAACCCCCCACCCCCACCCCCCCGGCACCTCCCCGACCTGCAGAAGATGTAGGAGGCTCTGGAGAGTCTAAGCCTGAAGAGCGAAGGTGGGTACTGTCGCCACACTGATCAGTGAGCCGGACAGGCGCCAAGGCGGGACCCCGGTCCCCTCAAGCCACTGCTCATCTAACCCATGTATGAGGAAGCTGCCTCATCGCCACCCCCTTCAGGCTGCTCTGAGAATCACACGCCTCCTCCATTTCTGTAAGTTCTGTCCAGTATCTTTGGGGCTCAAAGTGGGGAGGGGGTTGCAACAGACAGACTGGCTAATAATTAGAGCTGGTATCACATTCCTCTCCTCTTTCTGATGTTTCCTGTGATCTGTGAGCCCTCAACCCATTTAGCTCTACAAAATCAGCTGTTTTCTGACGGCGTAAACAGCAGTGGTCACACACTCCTCGCACTCTGAGCCACGCTCAAAGGCTTCGGCTCCCAGTATTTATCACATAGGGAGACTGTTGCTTTTAACATTCATTCTGTGTTGTTCGTTTACTGATTCTTTCTGTTTTTCACGTGCAAATGTTTGCTGAAGCCTAAACCAGGACAGGCTTTGCAGACCATGAGACTTTCTTAGATTCCGCCCCCCTCCCCCAGGCCTCCTCTTTGGATTTCAGGGCATGACGAGCCAGGCAGGACACACGGGATTTGTTTACTGCCGCGTTTGTCCAAGAAGCGGACAGCTTTCCTGCCAGGGGGCATTTGGAACAGCATTTCCAAATGCTTTATTGATCTGGCGAGGATGGGGTTTGTCCTTCATGTAAAAGTGGAAGAGCAGGATGGAAGTCATTGATTTATTTTTTGCATATGGGCAACAGCAGTGATTCATTTTTGCACAAATATGGCTCCATTTGCTTGTCCAGTGAGATGGACGGGTCGCCTGAGTCGGGACCCCCAAGGATGGGTTACATGCCACCTTCCAGTCCCTGGAAATATGTTTCCTCCCATAAATCCACGGCGTATTTATGCGATTTGGGGACGTCGTTAATGGAAAAGTGCATTAGTGAGGAAGAGCAGACTAAATAGAGCAGGAGAGGGAAAATAAACAGCCAGTAGGCCCGGGGGGGCTCGGTCCCCCCCTTGCTGGAGCTGGGAACAGCTGTTTATCCAGCCTTTTCTCCTTTCAGCGGTGAGATAGTAGTGGCCGGACTCGTCATGCACAACGACGCATCTGGGAGTGACGGGCCACTGCACCCCCCCGTTACCGCGTCCCCATCCCAGTATCCAGCCGCACAATGGACGTCTCCGGGGGACACTTTCTCCTGTTTTTGTGTTTTCACTCGGTCTTCGCAGGGGGAGTGCAGCTTGTTTGCGATTGTTGAAAGATTCTCCAAGCAACGACCAAGGATCCAAACGACAACAGATAAACAGAGCTGAAGTCCCTCGTAAGGGCTGCCACTCTGCCCTCTTCAGAGCCAGTCGTGTACACATCATACACCGTCTACTCCTGCTGTCACTCCCCCTTCCTTCACTCGCCCTCTGCCATCACTCTCCCCAAGCCATCGCTTGCACCTTCCTTCACTCGCCCCTTTCCATCGCTCACCCCTTTCCACTGCTTTCCCCCTCGCCTCCCATCCCCTTCCATCGCTCTCCCCTTCCATCGCTCGCCCCCTGCCTCCGCTTATCATGACACATGCTGTGGTCTCCTGGGACGGGATCCTAACTCATACTGGTGCTGTGTCTGTTTAAGTCAAAGCCTGCTACCATGGAGGAGGCCGTACGACCACAGGCACAGCAGGTCGGGAGGGGGGGCGGGCTGTCTTTCATTAGCCGTGTTGTCTTAACCTTCCTCAGGGGGGTGGGTGGGGGGGATCAGAAGCGAAGATTAACTTGATGAAAAGCAAAGTGTCCCAATTCGTCATCCAGCTGCATCCTGCAACTGATGCATCTTCATGACTCACTCAGATTACAGAAAATCATCGGGGGGGGCTTATCCCTTCTGGGGACAAACGCATTTGCGGGAACCCCCCCCCTCGGTGGTGTGTAATGTTAAATGTCCATGCAGGCGTGTTTCAAGAATGAGCGTGAGGCGGCCAAGAGATGATGAGAGACCCTGTGGCTCCAGGTCCAAGCAAAGTGCTCCCAGGGCTTCCAGTGCTGTGGCTGTCCACTCCCAGTGCTCCCAGTGCTAAGGTTGTCCTCTCCCACCGCTCCCAGTGCTGAGGCTGCCTGCTCCCAGTGCCAATGTGGTCCACTCCCAGTGCTTCCCAGCCCCTGTGAGGTAGTCTTGCCCAGTAATTCACACTCATCCTCCTTTCTCTCTCTGTCCGGGTTGAGGGTGTCAGCTGCTCACCGGCTGCGTCACCCGCCTCTCCTGGAAATTAACTAACTTTGTTACTCTGTTGTTATTTAAACAATCCCTGCAGATTTCAGCAGGGATTGTCCAGGCCGCCCACAGCCGCTCGGCACATGTCCGCCGGCTGTTCCTTTTGGGAATCCTCTGAGTCTGCTCCGCTCTGGGGCGGGCTCAGCTGAGGGGGTATCACTCTGAACAACAACAGTCATTTAATATTCTCCAGGCGTCCCCGACTGCTGCTGGCATGGCAACCAGGGGAACCATCCCATCTGAGACATATCAGCTCCCTGGCAGGAGCCGATGGGCGGCACTCCCTGCCTCACCTCGAAACCACGTCCACTCTTAAATCGAATGCACGATATGCATGCTAAACAGCTGCATTTTAAGGACACACTAAGAGAAATTTATAAGCCAGGGATTTCATGAAGTTGTCCTTCATGGGGAATTTCTTCATAGTTTTCATCACACGGGGGTCCTTTCGAGCCAGCTAGCTGGGTGGGGAGGGGGAGTTAGTACAGATTTCTGTCCAGAAGAGATCCTCCACATTCAGGCACACACGCACAGCCCTGGACATGGAGGGCAACCTCCATATCTTCTGCTGGAATCTCCACCTTCCTCTTCCTCTAGCACTCTCCTTCCTCATAGGATAACATAGGATAACCCTGAACTGTCACCTTACTGACACCTCACTAATAAATGACTCCATCCAGGACCTGCAGCACATACCTCAACAGCTTTATGCTGAGTTTGAAGCTGCAGGAATGAGAATCAGCAGCTTGGAATTCGAGGCCCCGGTGCATTCTGGAAAAACAGTTGATGGTTCCTCTCAAGAGAAGGGGAGATTCTACCCTTAGTGAAGGACTTGAAGCACTTTTGGATTGTATGGAGTGATGGAAGGAGGCAACGTGGGACTGATGAGGAGATGAGCTCAGTGGTGATGAATTGGAAGATAAGTCAGTAAATGTGGCTCTAGGTTTGCCAGTGAACCTACGCTTGTATTCTCACCGGTGGTGAGGAGCTAATGGCCAAAAGACCAGGACCAGAGGCACAAGCAGCCAAAATGAGGGGGATGTTTGGAGCTCTGGAGTGGGCTTCCGAGGTGGGCGGCATGGTCAGCTGTACCTAGAATGTCCTGCTGGGAAGAGGCCTGGGGCAGACCCAGGACGCTCTGGCAGGGGGGTAGAGGATGATAACTCCCAGCGGGCTTAGGGATATCTTTTGGGGTCTCCCCGATGAAACAAGAGGAGAGGCATGGTGAAGATAATGATGACAGTGATGATGATGAAGATGATGATACCAATGATGAAGATGGAGATGATGACAATGATGATGATGAAGATGGAGATAACAATGGAGATGACGATGAGGACGATGAAGATGACTGTGACGATGATCAATAGCTGTCAATGTTTTTAATTTTCTGAGGGACAAAGAAATGTACATTATTGTGAATCTACATTTACAAACACAATTAAAATAAGGAAAAACTAAAACAAATAATTTCAAGTCTAAATGATTGCTAAGAAAATACTGGCTTGTATCTTATCCAGGAGGCTCCCTGGAAAGAACCGGATGAGCATGGAGATTCCTGTAGAAGCTTCAAGGAGATTAGATGGGGCTCAGAGCTGGGTCGCGGAGTCAGCCACCAGCGGCTGCTTCTCTGGTGCGCTACCTGCGGTTCTCAGTCCCTCAGCCGCGAGCTGGAACTCATGGAGTTTCACTTCGCATCATTAAAACTTTCCACCCCATCTTAGGGGCGACCCTGAGCTGCCAACGGCATTTCAGGGGCTCTGAAAACCCCTCGCTTTTTCTGCAGGCACAGATAAGACGGCCTTCCCTCTGGGGCTCCCCAGGGGCCACGTGAAGTCCGCTTGTTAATCATTACACGGTACATTTGGAAGTCATTCCGTTAATTGCGGGAGGTTTGTGAGTCTGTGCGCGCAGGGATGTATTAAAAAGAGATACTCGTTAAAGAGCCATTACAGAAGCCTGAGACTTATCCAGAAAGAGAACCTCCTGGCGGATGGGCCAACAGCCACGTATTAGCAGTGTTGTGGGAGGCTTCTGTACATAAATATTGTGGATAATACAGCGAGGAAGGCCCAACCCGGATGTGCCGTGGAATATATCCGCGCGTGTGATTGTGCGGTTAAGGTGGGCCCCAGCCACGGGGCGTGGAGGCCTGACGGGCCCCGTCTGGGCTGCTGAGGGCCAGCTGGCGGGAACAGGAAACGGAAACCACATCTGAGAGCTCTGTCTCGGAGGAGAGGCCGCTGATTAAGTCCGAGCCCTGCTCCTCTCCAGCACGCCTTTGCTGTGGGTTTGTTCCAGGACAGGTGTCTCTGGAAGATGACAGCCGGCTCTTGTACTGCATTCATTATTGATTTTCTAGAACCTTCTACCGTCAGTCACATGCTTGCTTGTATAATTTATGTGACACATGCTGTAATAGGTTTCTTTATTAAGATGTGACATGGATCCCCTGGCCCAGTTCATTCTTGGCCTGAATCTTTACTCCCAATGGCGTAGCCAAAGAACCGGTCCAGCATACTGATCCCGACCCCCGATCCGGACTTCAGGGCCAACAGAAACAGATGCGAGTGCCTTGGGCCACGTTCGACCACGGGAGTCATTTGCGGTGCCAATGAGGAGTCACTCAGAGTCGCTAGACGGCTTAGGGTGGGAGTAGCTGGCCAGGTGACTGGGAGTAAAGCCTCTGGGCTTCCGTCCCTTTGTTTAATCACAGTGTCATCGGCCTGTTTTTCCCAAAAAACTATGCACTAATACACCCCCACTGGTTTGGGGGGTGGGAGGCATGTTAAAACGCAGCCACTCCTGAGCCTGGTCCCCCCCATGGGAAACGGGGGGTACAGGCCTAAGCTAAGCCAACTGCCCCTGTGTGTCCCCTGGAGGGGGGGGTAATGTTCGGTGACATGCTGCTCTTGTTTGTTCAGCTTCCCCGCACTGGACGTCTTGGGGGTCCTTTTAGGGGGGCTTTCGACCTCTGCCGACATGTGTCATTTCTACGGGGGTTCTGGGAAAGTACCATTTGTGTCTGTGTGTGTGTGTGTGTGTGTGTACACAGCAGGACTATGACAGGAAGTACAGCCTCCTGATGACAGAACTTGGCCGTAGTTACAGCATTGAACAAAAGCTTAAATGTTATCAGCTTTGAATACTGAAATACTGAAAGTACACCTGAGTAACATATTGTACTGTTGCCATCCACTCTGTCGCATCACATTATCATTCTGAAAGTCAGTATTATGTCCCCAGATGGAGGGAATTAGAGCGACAGCAGTCAGTCTGACCTATACACTGTTACATATCAATGTCTGGGTCAGAACATGGTCACTTCCACAGTGACTGGGTTCTGGGTCCAGCAGGCCTGGTGGAGGTCCAGCCTGGGCTGCCTGAGGAGGCTCTTCTTCAGTGTTACAGCAGGGAGACTGCTCACATTTTAACACGGTTTGGCGGTGACTCGTTTTGCTTTAAAAAGCAGGTCATTTCTAATATAGGCCTTTCGACACAAGGACGATAATCATTTACAGTGTGTTACGAAGCCTTCGCTGTTTACAGAGCTCATTGACATTTTTGTTTAACACTGGGTTAGATTTTTATTAAAGCTTAAGAGCGGTGGATGTCGCAAGTTTTTTTGCTATGCAGCTGCTTCTAGTTCAGTACAATTTGTACAACATCTGTGTCGAGTTCACCTTACACGGATATGTTTGTTACGTTTTTGTTTTCAAAGTAAATACGTCTCTTTAATGGGAACAATTTGTGTTTTGGATGGTGGAGCTCAGGCCCCCAGTGCCCTTGTTTTCCTATACGTCTGGTTGAAGGGGCTTCTCGAGTGGCTGGTTTTTAATTGTTTTCAGTTAGAAAATGGTAAACAGCTGGACTGCAGCCCATACACAGACCATCCATACTCATTTATATCCCTGTGAGTTATGGCAAGAAAAACTGTTTAAGACACTTACCTTAACGTCACCCACACCCCTCACAAGCACACTTGACTGACAGACACTGGCCCTCTGTTGACAACATGGGTTAAACTGTGAAGAGTGTAGATTTTATGCCGTTCTGTTCTATAGGCCTCAGGGTGTACCAGTCTGAGCAGAACCATGATGAAGCACATGCTAAGGAGACACCAAGGACATGCTACGGAGACTCTAAGTACAGGCTATGGAAACGCTAAAGACATGCTAAGGAGATGCTAAGAACACGCTAAGGAGACATTAAGGACATGCTAAGGAGATGCTAAAGACACGCTAAGGAGACGCTAAGAACAATGCAAGGAGACGCTAAGAACAATGCAAGGAGACGCTAAAAACATGCTAAGGACATGCTAAGGACACGCTAAGGAGACGCTAAAGACACGCTAAGGAGACACTAACGACACGCTAAGGAGACGCTAAGAACATGCTAACGAGACGCTAAGAACATGCTAAGGAGACGCTAAGAACATGCTAAGGAGACGCTAAGAACATGCTAAGGAGACGCTAAAGACATGCTAAGGAGACACTAAGAACATGCTAAGGAGACATTGACATGTTAAGGAGACGCTAAGGACATTCTAAGAGACACTGCTGCTTCAGGTGAAGTCTGCATGATCTCCCAGGTCGTGTTAAAGTGGCTTTTATAATAATGCAGTTGAGTTTTTGATGTTATGAGGTTAATTAACTACCCTATATGGACACACTTCTTAATCATTGAATTCAGGTGTTTCATTCAGACCCATTGCCACAGGTGTATAAAATCAAGCCCCTATTATGCAGTCAGGTTTACAAACATTTGTGAAAGAATGGGTTGTTCTGAAGAGTTCAGTGAATTCAAGCATAGTACTGTCATGGGATACCACCTTTACAATGTGTCAGGGTGTGAAATTTCCTCGCAGCTAGTTATTCCACAGTCAACTGTAAGTGCAAGCATTTAGGGACAACTGAAATTCAGCCACAAACTGGCAGACCATGTAAAATAACAGAACAGGGTCGCCGAGTGCTCAGGTGTATAGTGCGTAAAAGTCACCAATGCACTGTTGACTCAGTAACTGAAAAGTTCCAGACTTTCTCTGACATTAACTCATGCACAAAAACTGTGCACTGGGAGCGTCATGGAATGGGCTTCCGTGGCTGAGCAGCTGCATGCAAGCCTCACATCACCAAACACAATGCCAAGCGTCAGATGGAGTGGTATAAAGCACACTGCCACTGGACTCTGGAGCAATGGAAACATGTTCTGTGGAGTGACGAATCATGCTTCTCCGTGTGAGTCTGATGACTGGGTTTGGCAGATGCCAGGAGAATGTTACCTGACTGACTGCATTGTGTCAACTGTAATGGTATGGGGTTGTTTTTCGGGGGTTGGGCTGGGCCCCTTAGTTCCAGTGAAGAGAACCCTTAATGCTTCAGCAAAGCAAGACATTTTGGACACTAAAATGCTTCCAACTTTGTGGGAACAGTTTGGGGAAAGCCCTTTTCTGTTGCAGTATGACTGTGCCCCAGTGCACAAAGCAAGGTCCATAATGACATAGTTTGGTGAGTTTGGTGTGGATGAACTTGACTGGCCTGCAGCTTTGCCTTGACCTCAACCCCATCAACTCTTTGGGATGAACTAGAATGGAGATTGCAAGCCTGGCCTTCATATCCAACATCAGTGCCTGACCTCACTAATGCTCTTATGGATGAATGGGCCAAAATTTCCACAGACACACTGTGAAAAGCCTTCCCTTAAGAGTGGCAGCTGTTATAGCTGCAAAGAGGGGAGCAATTCCATATTGATGCCTAGAGATTTAGAATGGGATGTCATAAAAGTTCCTGTGGGTGTAATGACCAGGTGTCCCAATACTTTTGTCCATATAGCATATATAACATTCAGGTCAGGTCAAGTTGGAGAGCGTGCACTGGTACAATGCGTTCGGCTATCGCGCCTCCGCTATATCGTGGATTATTCTCCGACACGTCACAGTTCTCTGCGTATCGCGTACCTTGCTTGTGGTCTGATTGTTTTCCTTTTCTTTTAAGCCCTACGATGGCTCCCAAGTGTCCTGCATCTTCTAAGCCTTCTGGCAGTAGTGAGCCTAATCGCCAGAGGAAGACCTTGACCATTCAGGAGAAGGTAAAACTCCTGGACATACTTCGGTAAGGAAAGTGTTACGCCGACGTCGCTCACCATCATGGCTTGAATGAATCGACGGTACGATACATCAAGAAGGATGAAAAGAACATGAGGCACCACTTTCCTTTAGTCAAACGGGAACTAAGAGGGTGGCACGTCCTCAGAATAAAACCATCGTTAAAATGTAATCGCATACGTATACATTACATATTATTATTATTACAGTGGTACCTCGGTTCTCGAACTTAATCCGTTCCGGACTCCGGATCGAATCCTAACAAGTTCGAGTTCTGATCGAATTTTTCCCATAAGAAATAATGGAAAACCAATTAATTGGTTCCCGGCCCCTCAAAATTACACCTAAATATGTTTTTTTTTTGTTTTTTAGCATTTAAACACAAAATGAACAGGATAAAAGAAGAAGAACATTTTTTTCTTAATGGCTTCCAAAACGATAAAGATCTTGTCCCAACATTACCCCTGTCCTGCCCCGATCGTCCGCTCCTTCCGTGTGCCACGCCCCCTCGTTAACCTCGTGTGAGATCCCCATGTGATCAGTTGTTTCTGGTTGATGTCATTAGTCCTCTGTATTAAGTCCGCGTTTCAGTTTGTCTCCCCAGTCTGGTCATTGGGTGCGTTCAACTTGCTTACTGCGCTGGCTTAAAGCAACGCATTCTGATCCTGACGCAATGCATTACGGTTATGCCATGACGCACCACGGCAAGCACGAGGATGAAGATGAAGACAAGGATGAGGGTGAGCATCGACCTCGG